CCCCCAAAAAAAAACACAGCGAAAGGTCTACTCTTACTGTCTCCTCTTTTTTCACATTCTACCAGTTACAACATAATACAATTCTCACAGCCCTCATCTAGCACAGAGCCGGCTGGGCTCTGATAGATTTGTCTGAGTGATTAACAGTGAACATCAAGAACATTTTAAATAACTTCAAATATATGACAATTCAAAGATACGATATGACAATTGACTCACTTTGCAGGGGCATCTGGTTGGACCATGACTTCTCGGAATGTTTTGCTCTCTTTCACGTCAAACAAACGAATGCTGCCAGTCTTGTTACCCAGGAGAAGCTTAAGGACAAAAATTTAGAAAAGCGGAAATGTATGTGAACGTCTCGGGTGAGTGGGGATGACAATAGTAAAAGTACACTTAATACTGACGGTTTAACTTAAAAAATGAAAGAACATAATACTGTAACACTAAACAAAGAACAAATGAGGGGCTGAGATGCAAAACCTGCTACATCCATTTCAGCTCTTTTGAGAAAATCAGCTTTTTAAAAAGTTGCTATGCTCATGTGCATGCATAAAAAGAAGATTTTTTGGGTGGCTTTTACGAAGATGGATGAATATCTATTTCTCTGGAAGCAGGGCAAATAAATCAGCTTTCAAATTTTACCAATAACTCCAAATGCCCAAAAATTGACGAGCGCCTGAATCCGTCGCGTTGCGACACAAATTCTAAAAAAGATAGTCATGCTAGACGAAAAATCCTGAACAAACAAAAATTGGTAACTGTGAACTTACCCATCTGTCAGATTTGCTGACCCAGGACAGGGAGAGAAACGCCGACTTGGACATGATGGTGGCCTGAGTGGCTGGCTGCGGGCTCCACATCCACACCCTGGGCAAAACACAGACAAGTTGTAGACACAGCGTAAATACAGTACAACATGGATAGGTCGAACACAAAAGACTCAAAATCACGCATCCGTCGAACTGTGCCCGCGGTTCCAATTTTTTTCTTCTCTTTACCTTTGTAAGATACCCTTCGAACTACGGATTCCTCGAACTACCGAGGCCGGTCCCCAAGAATTCAAGCTATCCGTGTTATAATGTATTACTTTATTTGCAAAGTTCTTTTTCTTCAACTGCCAGGTCTGCCACAGACAGCGGTGGTCAGTCCTCCATTTATTTCTGTGCTTGGATGTTCTAAAAAAAACCTCCTGTATTATCCTGATCTTTCCCTGTCACCTATCTTTTCCAGTTCTTGAAAAGTTTTGTCGAATCTTCTTTTGATACATTTGAGGGCAGACAAGTTTACCTTCATAGAAAGGCAAAAAAACCTACCATTCTGGCACAATTTGCTCAAATCCTCAAAAATTAAACAAGTTTGATTTTCTCAGCCACGACTTGATAAGTTTGATACATTTTATGAAAACAGTCAATCAAAAGGGTACAACACATTGCACAGTTAGATATTTAGTTTGTGCACAAAATGAAAAGGCCCTATAGACTTCAGGGTCAAATTTGAAGCAGCAAAGCAGAGGTAAGTTGGTTAATGTGTGCACTTGCCATGCCACTAATTGATCTGATCCAGTTCAGATCGGGTCCATTTGACCGATGAATTCCGTTATTAGTAAATTATTCTTGGTGAACCTGTCTCTTTTGCAAATTCTTCCAGTAAAAAAAGCATTATAAAAAGGAAAAACCTGTCTTTAATCACTTCAATGTCAAATGATTCCATAGACACAGGAGAGGAGTCATGAACTCATCAGTACATCCAGACAGAGCACAAAAGGATACCTGACTGAGTCAGCATGAAATAGATCAATATATTCAGATTTGACTCGGTGCCTGTATCCAGACCTTCATTTAATGAATATAAAAGATTAATGCTCAACATACTTGGCCAATTTATCAAATTTATTGGTGAGTTCATTTTCCTGTCAGAAGAATTTCAAAATTGTTTTAAATTCGAAAGAAAATACAATAGCTAGGAATTCAACAATGCTCAAACTGTCCTACATTAATATCAGACCTGCCTTGTACTCCCATAAAATCGGAGCCCTCCAATTTTTTTTTTTTTTTTTTCGGCCTCTACAATGAACTCCAATCTGATTTCCATATTTTAAATTATTTTCTTGAATTCTATTTCCATCTCTTGTACGAAACTTATCGAAAATAATGTGAAAATAGACATTATTATTGTCTATTCTTGTCTCTATTCCCCTGCAAGATCTCCAATATTTGTGCCACTTAAGGTAAATGACACGCAAATACATTATATTCTAATTTGCGTTTATTTGTGTGTATTTACAATTCCTGTTTATTTTCACAGTAGATTCGTAATGAAATCTGAGTCTACTCGACTCCTGGGGACTCAGATTTTTCCCCAAACTTAGATTTTTAGAGAGGATTCGGAGGGAAAAACTGTTTTTAGCCATGGAGGGATTGGCAGGTCTCTGATAGTGTTCTAGATAGCTTTTCATGACATCTCAAGTTGTGGGTCTGAAGGAACTTTGCTGCGTACAAACGGGACTCACTTGACAATGCCATCTACGTCCAGACTGGCAATATACTGTCCTGTGACGCTGAAGCGACAAAATGAAGCCGTTGACCCATGTTCTCGATACTCATCCTGCAATACATAGGTGATGGTTACAGCTACTCGTTTTTCTAAAGTAAAATATATGTCAGTGCTGCGGGCATAGGTACATTAATAAAAGAGCTAGAATTCTTTTAGTCAGTTTTAGTAGAGGTTTTACGGCACTCGCAACTGCATAAGGTCATATGAGCACCAGGAGATTAGAGGTGTTACAAGAGAGTAACAAACATAAAAAAGAAGGGGAGATAAGGACGATAGATGTTTGATAGGAAAGAATAAGCAAACCACACCAGAGCACCCGCCAACCACCCACAAATTCTTTTAACACGGCCAGACGAGAGTGAACAAGTAATAATAAAAGACGTGTCATTACTTCAGCTTTTGCCTTGTTCGCTTTCTTCTTGATGATAACAAATTAATCAGGTATCTGTGGTGTAGTGGTTAGGCTTTTCACCATTTTATGCAGAAGACCTAGGTTTGATTCCCAAGCAGGGAAGTTTGTTTGGTCGGGTGTCAAGTATCTTCATCTGCTTGCTGGGATGTTGTATCCCACTCAGCCTGTTTGGCTCAGACAAGCAGGCTCATAGCAGCCTGCCTCCAAAATGACCTGGCTTGTGTCTAAGGGGACATTATAATAAAAGTCATAATAATAATAATAATAATGATGATGATGATAATAATAATAATAATACATAGCATTTGTATAGCGTAAATTCCCGCTCAACAACAAGCTGTTACGTGCTTGACAATCTATATTATTACCCCAGCAGACCTGATATTAAACCTAACATAAAACACTTACAATCACTCACGATTACATGAGAATACAATCCTTACCTCTAAGAGCAGGAATGGACTATCACAATCTGGGAAGTTAAAATAAAAAAATACATATATAAGAATGCAGGGGCAAAGAAGATCATTAGTCAAAACTTGGTAACCAATGACCAATTCATACTTTCAAAGCATACTTTATCATACAATGCAAAGCAAGTTAAGTTTAGTTCAAATACAGGTATACAAAACCTTCATTGGTTACTACAGAGTAGCAAGAGAATGCCAAAAACAGAAGAAAAAAAAAGAATCATTATATATTTTTAAAATTTCAAATGAGCAATATTACAAAGAAGGAAAACAAGAAAAAGGTAGCAATGACAATGAAAAATTAAATCTTTATTCAAATTGCTTTAAACAAGCTTAAATGAAAGAGCAGTAAACTTTAAGAGCTGTAGTTTTTAAACTTTAATAATCCATTGATAAATAAAAAAGTAATGTTGTTTTTTTTTTATTTGCTGCAACATTTTTGGGGACCTTCATGCGGGACAATATTACTGAAAAATGCGACATTTCTTGACGTATTTTAAGGGAAAACTTTTAAAGTCTGCAATGAATTGAAATATAAGATGAATGAAACGTGGCATCTTTTATGAGATATTTAGTGAGGATTTCTAGTTCTATCAATTTTCCATTACTGGTTATGTTCTTCACAGGAGTATATATATACAAGATTTTCACACAGCTTGTATATTTCGCTAGCAATCTGGCTTTCATGTCACCATCCCAGCCGCCTCTTTAATCCTTTTGCCTATTTGTTATTCTTTGTGAGGGGCACTCTTTCTCCACAGTCTACTTACCAGCAGCCACCAAGAGATCTGTTTCTACTGAAAAGCTACCAGGCGGCAAACTTTTACCCTCTTCTGACCACTGATGAAGTAGCTTGTTGGCCATTTCTGGTGCAGCTTGACTGGAAAGTTTGCTGAAACTTGCTGCACTGTGATTGGGAACTGACAAGGAACGCTGCAATAGTTATCAAGGAAAAGAACTTAATAAACAGAGGAATGTAATGAAAACTGGATATTGACCATGTCAAACCAATCAAGACTAAACCAGTACAGTCAAACCTGCCCTGACGGCCACCTATATAAGACGGCCACCTGTACAAACGGCCACTTTCCATTTCCCCCCTTGCGTTTTTTCTATATAATTTAACTGTGTAAAACGGGCACCTGTCCAACGCGGCCGCGGCCACCATATTTTAACCCACAACCCCTATCACACTAAGCAATAACACCTGTCTTAGACGGTCACCTTAGTGACTCCATTACGTTTTGTTATAAATTGTGCATTGGCCCCTGGCGTTGTGGGCGAGCCGTCATAATTCAATCACCTGTCGTTATTGTCAGGTAGTCCCTCCAACCGATCATGTTGCGCAGGCCCCTCCCACTGTTGACCAATAGGTAACAAAATTAATTTTCAGCTGCTGGTGAGGTTAGCGAGTGATCCCTCATAACCCATAAGCCCCGCCCAGAATTCATACACACAAATTGTAAGTGAGATGAGTAGTCACTGTTTACCCAGTCTGTAACAAAGTAACAAAGGACGTCACCATGAACTTGTGACAGAAGCGTCGCTCGTTCTACGAATGGTAGCGACACGTGTGTTTGTTTTACCATAGCACCCGGTCCTCCTTGTCTTACATATTTCGTTTTATTGTCACCCTTGTACAAAAGCAGCAACAAAAGACAAAAAGAGAAAAATAAACCCCAGCGAAAACAACAACAACAACCATGCGCTACCTTCGGGTAGGACCTCAGAAAAGAATGGTTTGTTTTCTTCATCTTGATCAATCCTGCCTAAGACGCCCACCTGTCTTATACGGCCACTTTTCTCCTTGACAATGGGTGGCCGTCTTACACAGGTTCGACTGTAGTTTACAACCTCTCTGATGAGAAGTTTCTATATAATCCTCATCAGAAGCAAAGCAAGAGACTACTTTTGCTGCCTGGTCAATAGTGGACTTTGCATTTATATAGAAATGCATCACTTGGGAGAGTTGAAGCTCAAATGCAGTACATATATATATGTGTGTGTAACAGTGACGCGACAATGCTTATCAAGAGTGTTGATGTACAGAAATAAAATAAGTGACAGATTGGATAAGATTGTTCTCATAAAGCATTTGTCATTGAAAGTCGCAGCTCTAAAATAGCTTTATTGTGTTGAAAGATGCATACACCTCACAATCTCTCAATAGCACTTCTAGAGAGAAAGACACACAGTGGGTATTTTACTATACATTTAGCTACTTATTTAAGACTGAAAAGTGTGGAGTACTTTTACAGTGTCATAGCCTCCAAGACTTCAACACCAGTTTTCTCTAGCTCAAGGGTTTTTAAAAATAATTATTCAAAGGTTTGGGTAGACAAGGGGACATCATACATATGTTGTAATTGGATTAATTTTGTGTTTGTCCAAAGAAAGCAACCATGCTGCATTATTGACATATATATATATATATATATATATATATATATATAAAAATGGAGTTCGGCATTGTCTTGTCAGGCTGAGCTTCAAATAAAAAAGTCTTGGTTGTTTGATCATGGATTGAAAGGTTTATATCATCCAGAGATGAAAGAGAAAAGTGGTAAAAATAAAGATAAAGGACCAACCAAGTTTCATGCATTCTGCAATAATGTATTTGAGGAATAAGCTGCCAACGACTGACAACAACAATGCAATCATGCAACCCTGAGATAGGGAAGTGCTCAGACTATAGAATCTCCTCCAACAGAACAAGCTCATCGGACAAAGTATTAAAAACACCACAAGAAAAACCAGTAGTTAGGAGACTGACTTCTTGTTTTAGGGCCTTACCTTAGCGAAACACAATTTCAAAAGCAAAATAAACTAAAATGACACTTTTACTTCACAAATTAAAGAGATGGCTTAAGAAGTCTCACACACACAAAATTACCCCCCCCCCTAAATCCACACCAAAAAAACCCAAACAAAAAACCCCAAAACATTTAACCAGATTCCATATTTCTAGCTGGCTACAAAAGTGTTAACGAGCTAGGAAGGATGGCCCAGGATAGAGATAAATGGAAGAAGCTTGTATATGGCCTATACTCTGCCAGGGGTGAAAGGCATTGATGATGATGACAAAAGTGCTACGATAACCAGTATTGCTCACTCACACTAGTAAAAGATTGGGTCACAGTTGTAGTGCTGATTGACTCGTGAGTGGAGTGTGCCTGTTGCTTCACAGGCTGGACTGGGGAGCTCCGCCGAGGGGCCGGCGATGATGTACCAAATCTGGCAGTGTTGAGCTGACGAGCAGAAGAAGCTGATGTGGCTGCTGTAGAAGCTGCCATTGACACAGCTTGTGACTTTTTACTCTCACTTTGAAGTCTAGCTGCAGCCGGTGGTGGGAAGATAGACATCTCAGTAACTTTGGCTGTCTGTGGGAAAAAAAGAAAAGAATGGAATCATCTTTCCACTTTTTTGTACATCAATTTCTGTGATTCTTCTCCAGGTTCCATGTGGTCTTCCCCTTGATCTTTTACCCTGTGGATTCCAATCCAACACTTTTCTTTGTTATGCAGCTGCCTGATTTCCCGAGAGAATGTCCAATCCAAAACCACCGCCTTTTTCCTAACTCATCTTTGACTGGGATCTATCTTGTTTTCCTTTTAACTTTTCCTTGTTGGTGACCCTGTCTGTCTATCTGATCCTCAGTAACTTTCTTAGACACCTGTTCAAGAAAACCTGGATCCTCTTTATGTAAAGTCTGTGATGCGTTCTATATCTCACATCCATACAACAGGACTGATTTCACATATCAATTGAAAATCCTCAGCTTTGTTTCGAAGTGATTGACAACATGCCCCCTCAGAATTACAAAGTTCTATCTGCTCAATATCTAGTCTTGAGAAAGTCTTGTACCACTTCAAAATTTATGAGTTTCACAATATGCCAAGCTTTTTCGAATTACAATTCTTTGAATATCTTGATTATGACTCCGAATATTATTACGATTTTTATAGAGCAGATAGAGCATTTGCTTTCTGACTTCATGGTCTTTGTAACTCAAAACAGCTAAAAGAGACAGAACTTTGTAATTATGAGGTAGGGACTACTTAGATCATCAAGGAGGAAAGCTGCTTCAGCCCTGCCTGTCGTGACTCACTTGAGCCTCAAAGGATCTCAAATCCCAGCAGAAACATGGACATACTTGATAAAATACCAGTCCTGTGTGAGAGAAACAAATTCACTTCTTAGGAAGCTAGGCCAAGAGCCTGATGACACCATACCCTCTGCTGTATTCAGAAATCTACAGAAAACAGTACTTTTTATACAAATGCTAAATTAGTAAAACGGCAAACTAATGAATCTACCATATTGTTCATTAAGAAAGTGACAAGACTAGATCTAAATTGTATGAGCTTCCAGCTTGAACTTGAATGAAGCAGGAAATGTTTCGTTAGATAAAAAAGTATCCCAACCTTTGATGATGAAGAATGGAAAAGATTTGCTATATTTATTCAAATAGAGTCATATATTTGGGAAATTTCGAGCAATTTTCCATTATATCCACAAAAACACTTTCCTTTCATGTAAAAAACAAAACAAAATTGAAGTAGCTAGACTTCTATTAAGTCGATGCTTCCTATTCATTTCGGAATCCCACTGATTTATAAAAAATCTTTTACTTTCAATTTAGGCTAAAAACAAACACAGGGTGATCCAACAAAACTACAACTTTTTTTCTAAATATCTCGCACAAAATTTGTACTAGAAAGCTGTAATTTGGAACAGATATAATTCATTCAAAAGGAATTTGTTTTTGACATAAAATTCACAAAGAAACAACTTATTTTCAAAAACGGAAGTTCGTTTCTTTCCTCTCCTTTTATTAAAAAAATCTAATCTTTGCATCCCTGTAACCTTTAAACAATATTTATTTTCTCTTACAGAGTTAAAAAATATTATTTTCTTAAATTCTGGAATTCGGAGAACCAATGGTCTATATGTCCTCCTTTGGACTCGACCCATTTGAATGCGTCGTTTGTAACGTTCAGTGGTGGCCAAATACAAGGATCCACTCAACAATGAGTACTTAAAGCCACACACACTATACAACTTGCAGTATGGAGCTGTCTTTAGAGACAATAGGGGTGGGGGTGAGGTTGCCCAAGTAGACAGCATTTGTGGAGTTGATATAACCGGACAGGTGAATATAGGCTTTGCCAAAGAAAAAAATGCCATAGAGGAATTGTTCATCCTTTTCAAACGGTCGAGGAATCATAAACACATTGCTACCCTCTGATAGCTTCGCGAACGGGGGGAATGGTACAGCCGTAAATGAAGATACGCCTTGAGAATGTGGACCGTTTAGATGTAGGAAAGTCATAGCTGCAGGCATCGTCTACGGACAGACGTCTCATGGGGGCTCATCTACTGAATTCTGCGCCCTGGTGACATTTAAAGGGGTGCAAACGGTGTGTGTTTGACCTGAAGGTGTCGTTGTGACAAAGAATTTTTAGCTCTGGTTCTCTACAGGTCCTAGCTGAAGGACCATTTCCACCCCATTTCTTTTCTGCCCAACCAGTACTTCAGTCTGCCATCTTATCTTGTGCTATTAATTAGGCCAATAATTCTTTTCACCTCAACAAACATCCAGGAATGACAGTCATTTACCTTACTTTGACCACCTGAGGTGGATGCTCCACCAGAGGCAGAGGCTGACAAAGAGACACCTGAGCTGGCAGCAGATTTAGACTTTGTCTGTGCATTCTCAGATTTCCTTCTTCCACCGAGGGGAGAGGTTAAGCTGAGAGGAAATCTTCTCACAGGCTTTTGCTTTTCTTGACTTCCTGTGTCTGCATCGCTTTGTTTGAGGAAAAAACAACGGAATATAGATAATGATAGAAACAGATATCTAGAACTTAGGTGATAGAAATGATAACACTGACCATGTCACCAACAACACAGAAACTGTTTCATAGTAGTCTCACACTTTGACTTAATGACAAAATTCACTGAAAAGAAAGACACCAGAACAGTGTGTATTCACAGGAAAATAAAACAAACATGAACTTAGATTTGTGAGCGAAAACTTCACCCGATTAAAGGAATTGTTGGTTGCCATACTTTCAGGCAATTCGTTACCTTCAACAGTAGGTGCAATACTAGCAGACAACACGGACGAGTTAGACCTCTCTCATACAATAGTGTAACTACCTGGCCAATCCTGAAAAATCATAGACCATGTCTGGTGGGGAGGAAGGCGGGTGGAGCTCAGCATGTATGTTCCTCCTCGTGCCAGCACGAGTTTCTCTCACTAATGCATCTGTGTTGGCAGCCGAGTTCAAAAGCTGTGGAAAGCACATTGTGAGGCATTGCAGTGTAAACACTACACAACATATCCGCCAGAGAAGAACAAGAGAGGACAAAACATCTACACTATGAAATACTCATGAAGGGAGCATATGACTATAAACACACACTTTTATAACAAATGAATAAAAGAGGCCGAGAAATAATTAAAAAGGTCTTCTCTGATTAATGTTACTGATACAATTTTATCACATTTTATACAAAATACTAATGTGAATTTACAAAACACATGCAAGCAAATTAAAACATGAAAGTGGGGTATATATATATATATATATATATATATATATATATATATATATATATATATATATATATATATATATATATATAAAATGATCAAAAGTTTGTTTTTTCTTAAGCGATTCGCAAACAATACTTGGAAAAATATTTACCTGCTGCTTCAGTAGAGAGTTTTCTTCCTGCAGAGTTTTCATTCTTCTTGCATCAAACTCTACATTGAGTAATGTAGGTACAGGTATAAAAAGTCAAGGCAATACATTAAAATCACTCTAAAAGTGTATGAAAGAAAACTACAGAATGGAACTGTGCTCTGGAACTACAGTTCCATTTTGTGTCAACTCATGAAACAGTCAGACACCTGGGTGTGATGAAGATGAACAATGATGTTCTGTCCAACCACTGGCGTATATATACCATTCTTGTCTATTCCCAGAAAGGGATAAAGAATTAAATATCAACGAGAAAAAATAATCAATATCTTATCTCTCATAAACACTACAACAACCTCCATTTACAATATTCCTTGAATAAAGATAATCTCCCACATCTCCTTTCACCAAAATTAAAAACTGCACATTTCCATTAGTGAGGAATATTCCGGTCAATATTTGATGATGATGAGTTCATTAAAAAGAACGTATCAAATGTGTTCCAAAATTGTTGTTTATCATACAAGAGCACTTGGTAAATATCACACTGTACTAGTAACAAGGCCTTCATTTGTCATATAAGTCTTTGCCTCAAACGAAAAATATTTGACAATCAATAAAAGTAAGGAAGTCAAAAGATGACACCTATGGTCCCTAAACCCTTGAAATTTAAAAGATATATATAGTAAACCCGAATTTCATGACAATACCATTCAACAGACTGGTTGACATAAAGCATAAAAGGATATGCATGGCTTGCAGAACAACCGAAAGAAAGTTGTGTAGGGAAAGCTGTAGTGTGTCTTGCCACTGCTTTTGGAAGTAAAGAGAATACATAGGATTCTCGGCTGGATTGCTTACAAATGGAAAGGCTGAAAGAGAAAGTGAAATGAAAATTATTTATCTTACAATTTCAAATAAATCATAAGCTTCCGAAGAAAAGGAAAATTATCTACACTTTCTGAAATAAAAGAGAATTATCCAAATCTTTGCTTGATTGCTCAGAAATTAAGGCTGAAATGTAGAAACATTGTTAAAAAAATAACTGAATTTTTTCTCCTTAAATGTCACACAGACCCAAAATCTTCAAAACAAAGGTATATTCTCTGTATAGATTTTTAAAAATAAATGAAAGGCCTCAACTAAAAAGTAGTTGCACAGGTACTTTACATTAATTATTCTGTCCTCATGGAAATCCTAAAACCAACTTGGTCGAGCACACCAAGTACCCCTCTTGTGTAATCAATTACTTCCAAAACCCATACCATCATGATACCCCCCCCCCCCCAAACCACACATACACACAAACATTCACAAACATAATTCACACATCATAAAGCCCAATGCAGTGTCACACTGACTTCGATACCACTCCATCATCCAGCACTCACACTGACATGGCTATATTCAAGGAAGTTCTTGTAATGTCTTAGGCACAATACAGGAAATGTGCAATGATGCATTTGATACCAACAGTGTGTGCATGATATTCTCAGTGATGATCGATGATGAACGGTGCGATGTTTTCCCATTGTGTGTGTGCAGGGTGATTTGAAACCGATGCAATTGGGAGGAAAAATTTGATTGGACTGTTCTATCAACCCACATGGGTATTGAGAAAACAGTACTGCAAATACAAAGAAAATATTTACCAAACCAGTCCTTGAAATCTGCATGTGTCTGCAATTCCCCTCCCATCTGTTCAAAAAAAGCAAGCACTTTATCCTGACGGTTGCACTGATGAGCATTGACTACATACAGCTTGAGCAGGCTGCTTTCCAATTTGCGCACACTGGATGCATAGCGTTGTTCCAGTCGTGAAAACAGCCGTTGATTCAGATAGCGCCAATACTCACGAAGGCCAGGTAAGTCATAACCAGACAAAAGTGTCCAAATTTGCTCCATCATGCGATCAACCTGAAACAAAAATAGGGCCTTAAGTCATGACACAACAAATTATGAATGCACTGCAAAGGGCCTACTGCATGAACTGTTTACATTCTGTTCTTATAACAGTAAATGAAAGAGTTAAAGGCCACCTATATTCTCACCCCTGATGAAAATAGCTCATCATCATGACCTAATATATTCTCACCCCCACCCCAGTGTGGGCATGAGGCGAGGACTCACCCCTGATCTCTTGCAGGCCGATAAAAATCACCTAGGCCCTAGGTGGCTTACCGCATGTGGTTGGGAAATGACTCGTGAGAGCTTGGTTCCTCATCTACTGTATAGGCCAACTACTGAAATTACCGTCACTATTTATAGCCTTAATTTGTTTTGTTTTTTTATCCACAAGCCTTCTTAAAATTAGGCTACCGGTATAATTATGAGTATCAGTAAGCTAGGTATAGGAAGAAAAAAAATATGTTCTGCTCTTGACATATCGTTCTTGCATACCAGTGGTGTAGCTCATTTTGCGGTTTTTGTTGGGTTGTTTTTTTTCTCGTGTTTGCTGTTCATGGTGTGAAATGGCCTTCACCCAGCCCACTGAAAACTATAAACCTGAAACTTATCTAGGCCTGCACAACTTATTTTCTGTGCTGCTCTATGTGTGTCTGTGCCATAGGCCAAGATCTGCTCTATATTGCACGCCTGTTGGATTGATAGGGACTTTCAAAGGCATGAGGGGGGTGAGAAGAGTGAGATAACATGCTGTTCTCACCCCTAGTGAGGCTAGCAACTTAGAAAACTAAACTTAAAATTTGAGAAAATATAAGCCTAATTATGACTGAAAAAAATGAAAGGACAGGCCTTTTTTTTTCAAGACCAGATTATAAGGAGAATCCCTTATCATGGTGGGCAAGGGGGGGGGTGTATTGAAATGGTCCCCAAGCCCAAGTGCAAGAACAAACAAATCTTATAATATCAACGTTGCTCTTTTTTGTTGTTATCCTTTGAGTCAAATGTTAATTTATGAACATGTTCCAGAAATATTGATACCCTAAACACTTTATTTTCGAAGCATCGTGGGTCTATGACAACAATAAGCAATGACTCTTCTCTCTCTCTCTCTCTCTCTCTCTGCTGCACTGAAAACTGAACTTGCAAACTGAGGCTAAACAGAACACTGATGATGCGGTGACCACCCATTTTCTTCTACATAAAAGTATTCAGTGCTCCTCACCCTTAAACCTTTATCTTTGTCAGTTTTTAATTCCTGGTCGAGGGTTTTCAAAGTAGCAGAAAATCCCCTAAACAACAAATAGTCTTTAACTAGCTGGTCGAGTTTCTCACAACTCGAAGCCATTTTGTTTGCAGACAATCCGAACAACGAACGGGAAACCACTCTCGTGACTCTGATAATGATAATAAAAAAGTTATGTGCACCTCAAAAACAAAAGAGCTACATTGTTTTCCTCCTTTCCACTTGCGGCTAGCTGCAGCCCCGTCAGCCAGAAGCTGATTGGCTGCGGTAGGCCAGTGGTAAATATTGTGTTGGGCCTATGATTCCAGT